GGCCCTTTGGCTACTGGACGCTTCTACCGGAAACCCTGCCTCTACTGCTGAGTCCTCTGTCTTCTCCCTCCAAGCTGGGCGGGGGCCCGGGCTGTGTGCCTACACCCCAGCAGTAAGGGCGTGGAGAAATGAGCAAGTGCCACTTTGAGCCATTAGATAGGGATGGAGGTCACACTTGCAAGGCAGAGATTCCTCAGACATGTGAAGGGGAGCCAGGCGCCAGGTAGGCAAAAGGAATGCACGTCCTCTGCAGGGTTACGATAAAAATGGGGTGCCTCCATTTCTTCTCTCCTGATCCAGATGCATCCTCGGGGTGCCCAACTTTAAAGCCCTCGTGTCACTTGTCATCCAGAGAGGAAGAGCCTAACTGGGGAAGAGAATCAATTTCTCCCTCGTCATGTGACTAGCCCCAACCAGAGTAAGGAGGACAGAGAACTGAAAATATGATCACTCCCTCACAATGTGTTACTGACAATAATTTTAAAACACTGAACTGCAAAACTTCTGATCTTTTCCCCCATGCTTCATTTTAAAAATGTCGAGTTATTTCAAAAAGTGTTTTTCCTATTTGGGAGGCCTTTGACTAATCTGCTCTATGGGGCCATCTGGCACAGAAGAAGGGACATCTGTTGCTGAGCTAAGTTTGTGGAGTTAAAGTCACACCCGCGAGATGATGTCTTACGTAAGTACCTACGATGTGCAGGCACTGGCATAGGTGTTTTATGGAGTATCATTAATTCTTAGGTCTTTCTGTCCCCACATCCAGACGAGGAAACTGAATGGTAGCAGGCAATTAAGTGTCTGAGGTGAAGCTCAAGGCCCGGGGCCCTTCTAGTCTTTGACCTTCCTACACTGGGAGCTCCCAGATGCTTTAGGCCCTCATCCCTGGCACAGTTCCTGACTGACAGCAAACAGGGACGAAGGAATACCTGTTGCACGAATGGACGTAAAAATGCCACGTGAGCGCCTCATTCAGTATCTGACAATTCTGCAAATACAGCATTACGAACACATACAGGTTAAAACTTTATTTAATAGAGTACTAGCACTATATAAAACAGGTACAGGTAGAAAAATAAAACCCAGCTGAAGTATCCGAGAATATCTCGAAAGTTTGCACTCTGTGTAGTGTTTCCTGATGAATTTTTGGCTGAGTTTGCTTTTTGGATCAGTCTATTGGTAGTCTGGTCAGATTTTACAGCATTTGGTTTTATTCATCACGTTAAATAGTTTTATTTTTCACATTAAAACTTATTCTTTATATTAGTGAACATAAGAGGATGAAAATTATACCCTCAAGTGGCCAACTATTTTTTAATCATTAAAGTCTTTATAAAGAGGCAAATTCCCAAGGTGGAGTATTTTTGCCAAGCGAGTCTTTAAAATCTAGCTCTTTGGTTGTTTAGATGTCAACCGGGGCTTGCTCAGGTGGTCTCGGCCCTTGTTTTGGCTCTGATCACCCTCAGAGGCAGCCGTGAGAAGAGCGGGGTCACTGTACGCAGCAGAGTGTGCCCCGCTCCTCAGAAGCTAGCTGGAGAGCAAGCCCTGCCCAGCTGGGGTCCTGAGGCTGCAGCTGTCCCCAGGATTCTGCTTGCTGCTTTCAGAGACTTCTGTGACGACACTCAATTTGTCAAAAACGTCGTTCTCATCAGACAGGGGGAAGGAGAAAAACAGAAGCCTGCTGTGATGCGGGTGGCCCAAAAACTGCAGGAGGAAAAAAACAAAGTGAATGATCAAGTTTTCCCTTTTTTTTTTCCCCTGAGCTTACAAAGATTTTATATACACTGTGACGACACTCAATTTGTCAAAAACGTCGTTCTCATCAGACAGGGGGAAGGAGAAAAACAGAAGCCTGCTGTGATGCGGGTGGCCCAAAAACTGCAGGAGGAAAAAAACAAAGTGAATGATCAAGTTTTCCCTTTTTTTTTTTTCCCTGAGCTTACAAAGATTTTATATACAACTCGTGGCTGGAAAATGCTGTTTTAAAAAAAAAAATGACAATAATAGTATGAGAATTCCTAAAAAATTAGAAGTAGAATGACCATATCATCTGGCAATTCCATTTCTGGGTGTTTACCTAGAAGAACGGAGAGCAGGCTCTCGATGAGACATGTGGACACCCGTGTCCACTGAAGCATTAGCCACAAGAGCCAAAAGGTGGAAACAACCCATGTGTCCACCGATGGATGAAGGGGTAAACGAAGTGTTGTCTATGCGTACAACTGTTCAGTCTTAAAAAGGAAAGAGATTCTGACACACGCTGGATGAACCCGGAAGACATTATGCTAAGTGAAATAAGCCAGACACCAAAGGACAAATACTGCTACGATTCCACTTCTATGAGCGACCTAAAATAGTCACATTCATAGACGGAAAGTAGAATAGTGGTCGCCGGGGGTTGTGGGGAGGGGGAAACGGGGAGTTATTGTTTAGTGAGTACAGAGTTTCTGTTTGGGATGATGACAAAGGTCTGGAGATGGGTGACGGTGATGATTATACAACAGTGTGAATGTGCTTAATGCCACAGAACTGTACACTGAAAATGGTCCCGAGAGTCAATTTTGTTACGTATGTTTTACCGCAATTCTAAAAAAAGCAACAACAAATCCACACCTCATTTTCTAAGTGGCCGCAGGTCAACTGGGAGGGAGATTTTTAGGCCAATCACGTCACTAGTCTTTCCTGTCTGACTAGTCTCTTGGATGGTGAAACCAGAAGCAAAAATCGCAGGTGAACGGTTTTGCTTCCTCTTGGTTCTTCTCCATGAGCAAAACACCTTCTACCCCCTTGTTTTTCCTGCCGAAGATGTGGCTTCTAAAATTTCACCTGTGAAGATTTCTTGGCTCGTTCTGGGGCTGCAGTCTTGCTGGCACTCTTGTTAGAAGGTTCTAGCTGCTCTGAAACATGCGCCTCGGGCCACTTGTCCCAGATCCCCCTTCAAGGTCAAGGCGCTTATTCCCCAGCCTCCAGGAGCACTGGCGCTTAGAACGGCTCACAGCTGAGTCCCTTTCCGGAAGTTGCCCTTCTTGAAAGGAAGTTGCCTCGGGCAGGGGTACGTGTCCTTCCCGGGGGCAGCCTGTGTCAGGGGACTGGCTGGTGTGGGGACAAGGTCTGACATCTGCTCTTACGGCCATATGTTAACAGGACCAGAAGAGCAAGATGTGACAAGGCCTTGTTAAGACGCACACACTTCAGAGGGTGGGGAAGTGACCCGGTGAAGATTCAGGGAACTGGCACATCAGTAGTTTTAGGGGTCCCGTGGAGTAGGGCATGCTGGGATATCCTCTCCAGAGTAAAGGACCGATTGATTGTGGTGTCTCACCCATGCCACAGACTGCTAAGGAGGAAGCACTATGCTAGGGGGGCGTCTTTGGGTTCTGGAGGCCGCATGTTCCACGCCTAGGAATACGCCACCGGTGCGTTTGCAGAGCGACGCAGAAGGCTGTCCCCACTTCCCCATGAGGGGGTCCCGAGCAGCAAAGGGCCCCGCAGAAGATGGCATGGGCTGTGGAGCAAACTGCCCTAGCCCCAGAGTACGAAGGCTTGGCATGATCTACCAACGACAACACAGCGACTGAACCTGTGTGACCTGGCAGATCCTTCATGGGTCTGCGGTGGGGAAAGACACTGGGTAGAGTGTGAGGCAAATCCCAAGAGGGGCATCACCACACCATGGCGATAGTCCCGGGCCAGGCCGGGCTGCCCGCAGTGGAGAAGTAGACCCTACGTTGAAAACGGATCCCGGAGGACTGTGAGGACCTGGTAGAGACAGGGCCTCTGGTCACCGGACACCATGTGGCCATGCTACGTAGAAACGACTATCACGAAGCCCGTCAGGCCCACCAGGTGTTAAAAGGGGGTCAGGGGGCCACGTGCAGGTGGCCCGGCTTCCTGTGCCATCCACCCCTGCTGCATCGGCATGTCTGCCTCTGCTCACGCCAGGATCATGGAGGGACGGGTCCTTACGACCAGCTGAAGACAGAGGAAAAGGCCAAGCGTGGTCCACAGGGAGCTGCCGAAACGTCTCAGCGGGTTTCCTTTTATGCCCAGCAGGAGTGTCCTTTGAGTATCCAAAATCATATTTGGGGGATGGGGAGTAGGAGAAGGATGTAGTCGTTAAAAGTCGCAGGTGATTTTTTAGCAAGTTTTTGGAATATCTACTTTCCAAAGTCATTTTATATAAGTTCACTACACGAAAGTGAGAAATTATTTAAAAATATGTAAAAGAACCCAAAAGTCCTCTATTAATCCCACCCACCACGGAGAAGGGAGGAGGTGGCGGGAGGCGTGGCCCTGTGCGCAGCAGGCCCAGTGACCCGCCTGGTGCTCCCTGGCTGTGCAATTTTAGGGTCTGTGCATTTAGAGCAGGGGTCAGCAAACCATGGCCCACGGGCCAGATCCAGGCCCCATGAGTTAAGAATGGTTTCAGAGTTTTAAATGACTACATTTAAGTGGTGATAGAAGTATCAGCATAATATCTCAATTTGGCCTCTTGGCCTGCAAAGCCTAAAATATTTGCTATTTGGCCCATTAAAAAAATCTTTGCTGACCTCTGGTCGGGAGGGTTCCCAGAGGGGACAAAGTAGGGGCCCCATGAGACTTGAAGCTATGGCGACCACCTCCTCAAGCCAGGCCCCTCGCGCCAAGAAGGGAATAGAGTGACCGCACTGGTCGTCGGGAGAAAAGGCTGCTGTTATGTAACGGTGGGCCCTCGACGTCCCCGGGCGTCTCGTGGTGTACCCCGCCAACTGTGAGTGCAGCGGCCATCGCAGAGCCGAGGTGACCCAATGGGGTCAGCAGCCCATGTCAGCAGCGGCTAGTCATGGGAGAGGGGACTGTAGAAGGGACAGCAGAGCAGCGAGACCACAAGTGTGTCTCGTGCTCCTGAGACCAACTGCTGCGGTGGGGGTGGAACCTGTCCCGCTCAACTTCCTGTGACTGCACCCCAGCTCAGCCTCTCTGTCTCTCACGGTCCTGCTGCCCCGCACCCTGAGAGGTATCATTCCCCAGGGCACTCCCCACTAATGCAAATCTCCATCTTCGTGTCTGTGTCCTGGGCAATGAGGCCACAGAGAAGTCCTCTCACGGCTGCGCTTGGCGAGCTTTCATTTTGAAGCGTGTCCGCCCAGACTTCCACTTCCGGGGGCCTCTGCAGTCAGACAGTCTCCACCTGGACACAGCCTTTCTTGTTTCCTGACCCTTTGAACACAGCTTTCCTCAAGTCTGGGACACACATCCCATAATAGCCATCACTCTCAGGTATCCCCCCTGAGATATAACTGAAAACATACTTGTCCCCCCGCTCACCCTCCCCCTGGCTGCTTACTGGCACTTGGGGTAGCGTTTCCTCTTTCTCAGGCTTTCCCCTGAGTTCTGCTTTTTCTCTTCCTGTCCCAGAGCCACTGTCACCTTTGCTCCCTGAGGAGCTGGTGCTTTAGAGAAGGAAGGTCGGGGAGGGAACAGTGTCCAGGTTGGAGGGAGAGCTTCTGGAACGAACCTCCACTTCCTCTGTTAGGGCTGTTCTGTGACCACAGACATCTCTGAAATGGCACCAGGGAACAGACGGGGATGCAAGACATGGGTCGTTCCAAGAAGACATGCTGGTCTGAACTAGGCGGCCCTGAGAAGGGACAACTGCTTCCAACCCGGATTTGTGACCCGCAGCGGGCCGCGCCCCGCCGCTTACCTCTTTCAGGTGCTGTGGAAGTTTGTTCCCATGGGCGAAGGCGTACTTGGTCTTCTTGTAAATGCACCACATCAGGGCGAAGCAGCCAAGGAGGAGCAGGCAGGCCACGCACACCGAGGCTGTGAGGATGATGGCCACGACGATCCACGAGGGGGCTGTTTCTGCAGGGAGGAGGGGGCGTGTTACCGTCTGGTCACACACAGACTGGGTGGCAGTGACCCTCACGCTATTTTTGTCACCGCAACCCCATGGCGGTCCCTGAACACTGGGCCCACATGTTCATCTCAGAAGGCGTAAGGGAACACAGCGGCTCTCTGAGTAGAGGGGGCCAGAGGTGCTCAACCAGTGTCAGCCCTTTCCTAGCTTCTCCCCAGTTTGGTTTCCGGCACGATGGCTGGTACACACAAAAAGGAACAGGAAGCAAGAACTCTGATCCACGTTCCCTACTCACAGGGTAGCCAGGGGCCTCCTGTTCCGCATACACCTCCTCCGCCTGGGAGCAGAAAACGGGGTCCCCCGGGCCCCAGGGCCTCGGTTCAACACATGCTCCAAAGCGTTTTGTGCTGAGAACCGCTAAAGCTCTCAGCACACATGACTCCATCCACACCTGCACTCGGAGACCCCAACTCCAGCGTGGCTTCTAGCAGCCTTAGGCCATGGTGCCGGTTTTCAATAGGTCGTACTTTTATAAAACTTTTGCGTTTTGTCACTTAACAGGTGATCATTTATAGTCACAGAATATTAGAAAAGTTTTCTTTTTTTGGTCACATTGTATGCCTTATGCCATGTTTCATGGTATGAACCTTTAGGAATACTTAACGATGTGATTTTCATAATATTGTTATCAATAACACTAATAATATCTAACATGTACTAAGGGATCGCTCTCTGCCGGGCACCCTCTGAGTCCTCCCAACCCCTACGCACGGCGGCAACACTTCATTCCACCCATTGTGCAGAAGAGGCAGCTGAGGCACAGCATGGTTCAGGATTTGCCCCATGTCACACGTTATGTTGGGCTTCATGGCAGGGAAGGGCAGGACGCAGGGACAATAGGGTTTGGGAAAGCAGACAGCAAGTGTTTAGAGGAAAGGATGGGTCTGAGGCGAGGGATCCTAGCGATTCAAGTCGAATGGGGGTGGGGGAGGGATGACTCCCAAGGTACAGAATTCTGGCTCAAGCACACATGATTCACGAGAGGAATAACATAAGAAAAACCGTAGAGAGGGTCTGTGAAAATAACTTGTGGCACACAAAAGGCAGGACTTTTTGTTATTTAAAGGTGCTGTTGAGAGGCTCAGCCAGCTCAGACCATGGAAGGAGGTAGACTGGCAGCTTCGCACAGCCACTGACCCCTACAGAGGACCCAGGGACTACAGAAAAAGAGTAATAAGAGAATCTCCCTCCAGAGAGACAGCAAGACTTTTTAGCTTCTATGTGGCTCTGCGGTCCTGAGAAAACTGACCAATATAATTACAGAGTAGCCCTGGATGACAACGCAGAGATCACAGAGCTGGAAGAGGCGAAGGAATCCTCGATTTGGGCAAATAATGTGTGCATTTACAAAAGAGGAGGGAAAAAAATTCAGGAAACCACAGGGCAGGAAGCTTGATGCTGATCTCCAGAAAAAATATAAACGTTCCGGAATGCATAATTACGTGGTTAATTACAAACTCTTAAAAAAGATAAGGATAATAACTAAAAAAGAAAACGACATTAGGGCACTGACACGAAATTAACTCCAAGTGGCTGCCTTTCCTTTTTTAGGCCGGGTTCCTTGTTGATACATCGTGATCTTATGGGCTAGTTTTTCCCAAGCCGTGTGTGCTCCTTAGAATGCGAATCCTCCACAAAGGTGTTCGAAGATGAAATACGCTAAAAACGCTAACATACAGGGCAACTTTGCAGAGGTGGAAACACAGTATGTCGTCATTTTCAGCTGGGCTCTTACTCTGAGATGCTGGATGCTCACGGGACACAGCTGGGGCAAGGCAGCACCTTGGCACCAGGTGTCGATTTCGGCTGATATTTGCCAAGGTCGCTCACAAGGACTTTGTCGACAGTAAAACGAAACAGCTTACATGACAGTACACTCACTATATTCAGAAGGACTGGTGACCAGTGAGCACGTGGGTAAGCAGTGTAAAGGAAGGGGTGTTTTGGAACACACCGACGGTTTAAACAACAAGCTGGTAGGGATCTTGAAGCTCTTCCCTGCCGATCAGATGAGACAGTAAAACTGGGCGAGAAATATGTTCAATGACAAAAACCAACATTCAAAGAGAGTGTGATAAGCTGGAATTGTGAATCGAAGCAAATGCAGCACTGTGGATTCCTTAGACCTGCTCGGAGACACGGAGCGGGGAAAGCTCTGCTCTCTCTCCGGAGGGAGTTCTGGATGACTTTCCTCTGCATTTCTCTGGCCCCCCCCCGGCTCCATGCCTCACGCCCAGGAGGGCCTCAGTGAACGAAAACGGCCAAAAGTGGACCTGCATGTATTCATCCTTCCACGATCTGAGCTGGTTGAGCCTCTCGACAGTGTCTTTAAATAATAAAAAGGCCTGTTGTTTGTGTGCAGACATCTAGGCCACGGGCTTTATCGCCTTGGATGCGACTGCAATGCGTCTGAAATGATCACAGGCTCCAGGCCCACTGGTATCCTCCTCCCTCTCTCTCTTTTCTTCCTTCCCTTCCTCCCTCTCGGTTTTTTCTTAAGAAACACCAAGTGTGGCAGCACTCAGCTAGACGCTGCAACCCATCGCATGTGGAGGACCGTGTCGCGGGCCTGGCACTATATTTTACGATGGACTCTGAAACAAGTAGGGTTCGCTGAGGAGCGATAGGATTTCTAAATGCTCCTTTCCTGTCACGTGCCTGAGGGGCTGGAGAAGGAAAGCCTTCTTTTGTGGGCTGTGACAGGCCTTGACCTTTGCTCGGTGGTCTTGGGAGGGCTGATGAGACTTGCTTTAGGGAGCATGAGAGCACAGAATGAGCGCAGCGGGGGTGGGGGCACGGAGGTGGACCTCCGCGCTCCTGGCGGAAGTTTCCATCAATCCCTTCGGTCTCAGAGTGAACGTGCCCCCCCACAAGGTGCTCTCTCATCAGTTGGGGCTGACCTGGGAGGGAGTCTGAGCTGGGCACGCTGAGGTCCGGGGAGCCTCCCCACCCTTGTACTCGGTGGGGTCTATAAACCTGTTTAGGATGCTCGAAGGAGGAGGATTACAAACGGTGCATCTCGAGACTCACCGTCATTGACGGTTTGCTCACAGACGGGCTCACTCCATTCCCCGGTTTTGTTCCGATCGGGAAGAAATCCTTGAACTTGAACGCAATAAGTCGTCCACGGCTCGAGATTTCTGAGGACCTCGAAGTCATACTGACAAGTAACTAGAATCTAGTAATGAAGATAAAAATAAGATCATGCCTCAGCAGGGAAGGGACACCATCTCCCCCCCGCTCCCACACACTTATGAGTATAATCTTTACTGCAGGCTCAAAATAGAAAGACAAAGGAATCAGACGCATCTCCCAGTTCATTTCAGGGGTCCCATGCTAAGGGACAGGGCCAGAGCTGACTGTGATCCTGACAAACGATCTCATTTCTTCAATTCTCTAGTTTAGATGACATAAAAACCATTCCACTTCAATTTTTAAAAAAGATGAACTATATGGGTTGAACCGTGTCCCCCTCAAAATTTATATGTAGAAGTCGAACCCCTAGTGCCTTAGAGAGTGATTTAGTTGAAGATCGGGTCTTCACAGAGATAAGCAAGTTAAAATGAGGTCATCAGGGCCGGCCCTGATCCAGCATGGCTGGTGTCCTTATCAGAAGAGAAAGTTTGGGCAAAGACTTGCACACAAGAACAACGCCATGTAAAGATGTAGGCGGAGAGATCGGGGTGATGCTTCTACGAGCCAAGGAACCGAAGAAGGCCAGCAACCACAAGCTGAGGGAGAAGTCTGGAACAGATCAACCCTCACAGCCTCAGAAGGAACCAACCCCACCCTCACCGTGATCTCCGACCTCGGCCTCCGGAACCGTGTGAGAATACGTTCTGTTGTTTAAGTCACCCAGCTTGTGGTACTTGGTTACAGTGGCCCGAGCTGACTGATACACTGGTAATCTACAGTAAGACTCAGTGCGCTTTTCTTTCTAAGTCAAGAGAACGCTGCTGACCCTGGCTGCCCAGCGATCTCTTCTCAATCACTTTACCACCTGTGCACCTGGGGTGCCCCCAGGGGCCCACCTCACCTCGAGGGCACACACCACAGCCGGCCTCTGGTGGGGGCATCCCGGACTCATCTTAGTTTAATATGAATATAAGATATCATAATTGATGATAGATTCTTGAAGTTGAGAATGCAAAATAGTTTCCAGCAAAATAAAAGGAATTAGGAGTTTATACTACTTGTATTTCCATCATAGTTATAATGTTCTTAGAGAAGGGTCCTATTTGTTACAGGAATAGGAACATCAATAGAAAGCGAGCACGGACTTTTTACTTCAGTAACTGGTCATTTTTCTTTGGGGGTTGAGTCTGTTGACATCTTGTCTATATTCTTTCATTGTATGAGAAAATAAATTCAATGAGGGCAAGAAATAGATTAATACCAACTGAATATATGAACAGTATGGCATACCTTCTTACAATTAAAAACAAAAATAACACCAAAAAATCCTGGCTTTCATCTCTAGAAATCCAATACCTCTAAAACCTGAAAATGCTCTTTCTTCAAAGACTAAACTCAGAGGCTGACCTATACGTAGCAGGCAGGGAAAACAGTAGCCCAGACGTGACGGGACCTGCTCTAGGGCTGTGAGGGGACCTGCTCTAGGGCTGTGAGGGGACCTGCTCTAGGGCTGAGACGGGACCTGCTCTAGGGCTGTGAGGGGACCTGCTCTAGGGCTCTCTGATACTTTGTACTTTAGTAATTGGTCATTTTTCTTTTGGGGTTGAGTCTGTTGACATCTTGTCTATATTCTTTCATTGTATGAGAAAATAAATTCAATGAGGGCAAGAAATAGATTAATACCAACTGAATATATGAACAGTATGGCATACCTTCTTACAATTAAAAACAAAAATAACACCAAAAAATCCTGGCTTTCATCTCTAGAAATCCAATACCTCTAAAACCTGAAAATACTCTTTCTTCAAAGACTAAACTCAGAGGCTGACCTATACGTAGCAGGCAGGGAAAACAGTAGACCAGACGTGAGGGGACCTGCTCTAGGGCTGTGAGGGGACCTGCTCTAGGGCTGTGAGGGGACCTGCTCTAGGGCTGAGACGGGACCTGCTCTAGGGCTGTGAGGGGACCTGCTCTAGGGCTCTCTGATTGCTTTTTCCAGCCTTCCTGCGCTCTGGGCAACTTCCGGTTTGCTTTCTAAAAGACAACCACATTGTCTGGCTCCTTTTGGCTGTTACAGCAGAATACCGCTGGCTTGGTGGCTTATATGCAACCTTCCTCTCTCACAGCAGTGGAGGTTAGAAGTCCAAGATCACAATACCGGCAGATCTGGTGTTTGGTGAGGGCCCACTTTCTGATTGATCAAGGGCCCTCTTTTTGCTGAGTCCTCACCTGGCCGAAGGAGTGAAGAAGCTCTCTGCGGTCTCTTTTATAAAGGCAAGAATTGCCTTCACGAGGGCTCCACCCTCATGACCTAATCACCTTCCAAAGGCCCCACCTCCTAACACCATCGCATTAGGGATTAGGTTTCAACATATGAATTTGGGGTGGGGGACACAGACATTCAGTCTCTAGCACATATAAACTGGTCATGGTGACACTGCAGTGAAGAACTGGGGAGCAGACAGCCTTTCCAACGCTCAGCTTGTCGCACCAAAGGCTTTCCACACCACAGGCTGAGTGACGGGACAAATGTGTAACTGGATACCTATTTTGTGGGCACATTCTAGATAAGAAGCTAAAGGTAAACTGGGCTTTGCATTTCATGCTTGGTGCAGGAGGCACTCAGGCATGGGAACTATGGAATCTAATCTTTAAATTGAAGTATGCTGCTAACCCCTTGAGTGGGTCAGTCTTGTCTGATTTTTGCATTCCATAGCTGAGCAGAGACACCTGCATTTGATAAGTGACCATAAAACACATTATTCTGTATTGCTTTCTAGGTGCACATCTCCTGGGGTCTTGACTATAAACAAAATCATCTATTCTGTGAAGAAGGCAGATCTCTTACGCCATTTAATAGAGCATTTTCTGGAGGAAAAGTTAACTTTAGATTTTTTTGGACTATGCAGTAAGTACATATATATTTAATTACGTCATTCTTAAGACAATATTCGTGGGTGGCCCTTTCTTCCCAAGCTCTTGAGAATTAAGTGATAAAATCAATATTTAATGTAGAGGAGATAACACGTATGTAACTTATTACACATACGTAAGTCAGTTCAGGACCACAAATGGCATTCAGCTGGGAAGCACTAAGTATAAGAACAAAGCCTGACCGAGGATGAATGAAAATAACCTTAACATGTCTACATTAGGGGATGGGAACCTGGTGTATTGACCATATACACTGGTCAGGCAATGGGACAAGTTTATTCTTTTCATTATGTTACTAAATTCCCTAACAATCCTATGAAATGGGTTATTATCCCCACCTTGTTAATGAAGTGAGTTATTATTCCCATTTTGCAGACATGAGGAAGCTGAGGTCAAGAATGGTCACACGGTAGCAGGGGCGACATTCCGACCAGGTCTTTCTACTCCTAGCCCTTGTTTTTAAAGGAACTGTCCCCTGAAAAGGAGAGCAATGGAGAAAAGTGGGCTCAAACAGGTAAAATCTGACACTGTTCATCCAGTGTCCAGGGTGGGGCTGCCTGACCACGAGCCTGACTGTCCTGTGGTGTATGTGTGGCACAGGGTTCGTGCCATGAAACAGTTGTCACTCAGCTGATCATGCGATTCAGCTGACTGTAAGTTCCGCCAGCCAACTGCTGAGTCAGCTCTGCCTTCTTCTGCAACTTCCCTTTGGAGAAAGAAAGGCCCACTCTTACCGTGCAAGCACCCTGAAAGTCTGCTCTGTGAATTTCCCTCCAGTGTGAGCTGGAGATGCTGGTCACCCCTTAGGCTGGGAACTCGCTCGCTCAGAGGACCAGGCCTTAGAGCCTCTGGACTTTGAGGCGTTGCCACCTTGCAAGACCCTGACTAGATGGCCTCCTGGCCTCCTCTCTCCACTGCAATGGCCTCAGACCAACACTGAGCAAAGAACAGGGAGCCCGTACCTGAGATACATACGATTTTCCAGGCTTACCTTTTCATCAGAGCCGTTCTTCCAATATTGCACATTATAAGCCCATGAGTTATAAATATTCTTCATGGTCCATGTTTCATGTTCCTTCTCAATTTTGGGGGCTAAGAAACGTATATGTAAAGAATTAGCAAGCGCTTCTACTTGCATTCCAGGAGGTCCGATAATGGCTAAGTATGAGAACAAAACAAAATGACAATCAAAAACCGCATTTTAAAAACATTGACGTTTATTTTTCATAACTGTGCCGACCGGAGGGTCTACTGAGGTAATCTGACAATATCATCACTGTGGATTTGATCGACATGGGTAAGTAAGGAGGCTACTTGGAGCCTGTTTCTTAAAAAAATAAATCTGATAATCTTTGCTTTTATTAATCATTTTAGTCCATTTATATTTATTTTGATTTCTCATATATTTGAAATTATTCTAAGTACATTATTTTGTGTTTTCTGTAAAGG